CGACTATACCCATTGTGTTAAATCACTTTTAGGACTTACTCTACAAACATCCAATACATGACTAAAGTTTCTAAGTCATTGGAAGGACATAACTTTTGTATTTATTCTTGTTTACGGTTTACATAGACGAACTGTGTAGAACAAAGTGAACTTCAAAGTCAGGTTGCAAACACACCTTATAGACCCAATCATAAGATACCTTGAGACTACTATAAAGTATAGCCATAATTTTTACTCTGTTTTTTGTTTATTGGAAATCTAATCAGAGCTACGAAGGAAAAGAAAGTCATTTCTTGGCATTTCTCTTCAGAATCTGTCATGTTTTAGTACTCAACTGCAATGTTCATTTTCAATTATTATTTTCACTCGCCTTTAAAGATGCAGTCTACTGGATTCTCAGGCAAAATAGAATCTGGCTAAAAATGCTAAGAACTATTTTAGGGGAGTTAGTAGGAATATTATTGCATTCCACTGGTGTGATATTTCCTGTAAATACATTAAAGGAAGAAAAGGGCTGTCCTGAAAACTGCATTTATTAAAGTAACCTGTAAAATGAGCTAAGCCTGGCACTTTGGTAGGCATTTAATTCCTATGATAGTTAAAACAAACTATTTCAAAACAATAAAAACTGTCTTCCTAATAATTACTGTCTCTGAAAAATGACATAATTCTAAAACAATAGGTAACCTATTCAAAGTGCTATGTTTAGCTCTTTTAAAAGATTATTCTTGAAAACAATGCCTAAAGGTTAAGACATCATTCAATCCATATAACTTTTTAAGTGCTGTTATTATTTTAAATAATGATTCTATTAAATTTTATTCTATTGTGGGTGTTTGCTTTAACTTTTGAGATGTATTCTTTCTCATTATATACTACCTTAAAATGTGAATGATATAACTTAATTTGAAACATTTTCAATAATAATCCATTATTTTAATGGATTTAATTTTAATGATTTTTTTGCCATTTAGTCTGAATGCAATCCAGAGCTCAAAAAAAAAATCTTTATTTTAAAACAAGTATAACCTTCCTTTCAAACAAGTATACTCATTCTGGCCTAATATAAGTATGTGCTATGAAAGCTTTCTGTTCTCTGTCACTGTTTCTGCAGACTTGAGTCAGTGAAGAATGGAGTAGCTATTTTTTGGTTGAAAATAAAATTTCATTGACAAACAAAATTAGGAAAAATGAATCTGTTTTATAAAAAGAATAATGGACTACGTAAAAATGTAGCTTTCTTTTGAAGTTGTTTACTTTTCTAGATTTAAAGAGAATAATTGCATTTAATGAGACACTAGAACACAAAAAGTGCTCTTTAATTTTATCAAAAGATATATATTCAAAATATCTTGGAATGAGTTCAAGAAAAGCTACATCGATAATCGTAGTGTTTATATGATTTACAGGCTCTCCGCAGATTTCAACTAATTAATAGCTAATATTTGTAGCTATCACGGGCAAGCATCTGTCTTGTGAAAAGTCCTTGTGGTCCTTTTCACCTTAGCTCAGACTTGGAAGAAATTCATTGTATAAGCAAGTATCAAGTAATGTGGCCCTCTGGTGGAAAACTAAGTATCACATTCTGCAGCACAATGTTAGACAGTAAACTAGAAGCTATAAAATATTTGTTACAAAGCTTTACAGACCTTCCAAAAACCATCCTGTGAGCTTAATTAATATCCTGACACCTAAAGGGCACTCTGGTGCTGGTATGACGTAACTAATATGAAAATCTTATCTTTACTCATCCTTCAATCATGTTGCAAATAATAATAAATTCTCAGCATTTTAGCTTAACACAACATGCTCAATTTGCTATGAGTACATTTTTCATATTCAAGAAAACAGGCTTATTTGTTTTAAAGAAGCACCGAGGAAAACAAAACTTACCTGCTGTTGTTGCAGATGCAGCAGTTCTACTGTGCTTACTTCAGAGCTGGTGTCACCACTTGATCTTCCATCTCTGCTGCCAGCATCTAATTGGCTGCTTAGAGTGCTCATTCCATTTTGATTCATTGAACTGTTGCTTATTGTCTCTGTCGCAGATTCCTGCATCATGACTTAATACCTAAAAGTGATTAAGAAGTATCAATTAACACACGTTACACCTTCACACTTCCATTATCAAGATGTCCCTCTCTGCCAATTACAGAGACAGCATCTTTAGAAGGGGGGGGAAAGCCTTGAATAGTCATTTACCAAGAAAAGCAATACAAACTCAGCTTTTAGCCAGATACTAATCACTGAAATTATGGTTTCTATAAGCAATTTTTGTGTGGTTACATTTAACAGCCAAAGTAACATACCATGCATATAGCATGGTCAATAGCATTTATGAACGGCCACATTTTAAAGTCTACCTATAAAACCAGTTTAGATGAAGGCACGATTGCACACTCTGTTCTATGTTTCCTATTATCTACCTTTGACAACCACGGATGACTATACAGCCTTATTTTAAATATTCACTATCTTGATTCTGTCAGAATTTTACAGCACATCTTATGCAAGGCTGTTGTTTAATGATGCACAGCTAATCATACAAAATTAAAATTTTGTAAGGGTGTTACAAATCATATGGTATCAACCAATGATAAATAGTATAATG